TACTTTTTGCGTGAAACGCGCACATCGATTTGACTAAGTTAGTTTTATTATACGTATAGATAAGAATAAATATTGCGAGTGTAACTTAGGAGATAGACATATACAATTCAGAACTTTTCTGTAGGACTTTTCAAGACCTACAATTTTTTTGTATATTGTTTTAATGTATGTATGTCTTAAGGCTTAGCCAGCGGAAGGTTTCTAAGGAGGACTCTATAAAACCAGTTATTGTATTTTCCCGTGGGAAAGAAAGATTTTCTTGAAGTAAAAGGTATCTAGACAGTGGTATCCTAGTGGTAACGCGCTCGCTTGGGAAACCGAGTGAAGCAAGTTCAAATCCCAGGTCTCGCACCTCTGATATTTTCATGTGCGAATCATTTGTAACACAATTACCACTTGTTTTAACGGTGAAGTAAAACATCGTGAGGAAACCTGCATGCCTGAGAGAACCCAGCAAGTTTTCAAAAGACATGTGAAGTCCGCCAACCTGCACTTGGCCAGCGTGGTGGACTATGGCCTGATCCCCCTCGTACTGAAGGGAGGCCCGTGCCCAGCAGTGGGACGTTAAAAAGGGCTGAATACATACATACATACATACATACATACATACAAAAGGTATCCTAAATGTTGACTCGAGTAATAAGTTATCACCAAATTTCGTTGAAATCGGTACATTACTTTTCGCGTGAAACGCTCACGCAAAAACAGACAAACAGACATACAGGCAAACAGACAAACAGACAACTTTTTTAATAACTATTGTTTTGGGGTTTATGTTGTGTACATAATACGTTACAAATAAACAAAAACATCTATCCCACGGGAACAGTACATTTTTCCGGGATAAAAAGTAACCTATTCCTTATTCTGATGTATGAACTATATATATTATTGTAAAGTTTCATCAAAATCCAATTGTTATGTTCTATGTATTTATTATTATATTATTAAATAATTATTAGGACTCGGGTATAAAATGTAAATGAAACAAGCGTTCACGTTGAAGCCATTGACCAGACGGAAGTGTCTATTTTTTATTTCTTAATGCTAACTAACCATAGACAATAATGTTTACACACTATCCAACACCTCCCTTACAAAATAAAATTTTATGCAGAATTACAATTGTTGAAGGAATACAAAATTATTTTACAAATTATTGTTGTTACATTACATACATAGTTATACAATCCTTATATGACTATATCTATTACATTTTTCCTCCGAACAAACAAAAAAAAAATTATTATACAATTTTAATACATTGTGCTTGCAACACTATGAAGAAATGACATCTTTTTTGAAGTTGACAATTACTGACATATGACAATGACAAGTGACGTTTGATTATGATTTTGACAGTTTGACTATGACAAGTGACAAATTAATTTAAATTTTTGAAATTAAAACTAATGTAATTATCAAGTAAAATAAACGAAAATTACCATAATAAGATAAAGTTACGAAATAACTAATTGAATCTATCGGGCTTACGAATTTGACGACCAAATCTGGAATATTTTATTGAAGAATCGGTTCTAGAAGACAAAGTTGGATTGGAATTTGATGAAATATGATGTGAATTGGCTGATGGCTTTGATTGAAATTGAATAGTCGGTGGATGTTTTGGTGAATGAATGTGTTCTCTATTTCTACGAAATTCACCTTCTGGACTTGAAATTATATAAGAACGTGGCTCTGGGCCTACTTTAGAAATGATTCCTGGAATCCAAGCATTATAATTATTATGTGGTTTAGTAGTTTTTGTGTACTAAGCTGTATAAGTTGTTATAGTTTTTTAACTATCCCACGGGAACTCTTTAATTTTCCGGGATGAAAAGTATCTAAGATGTTGCACGGGGATATAAGGTACCACCATGCAAAATTTTATTTAAATCGGTCCAATAGATTCGGAGATTAGCCCGTACAAACAGGAAAACAGATAAACAGCTCGCTCGGGTTCGTCCATACCTACGAATATGTTGTATTATCTCTTTAACCATTTGTCCAAATTATATGCAGTAAAAGGGAAAAGTCTTTTGTTTTAAACATTTTAGACGATAAATTTACTTATTTTGATAAGAATTCATAATTGTTGATAATATGACCAATAAACATAACCTACCGATTTAAATTATTTTTTTAATATAAAAAACTACTTTTTGTGACTTAAATATAAAAGTTAGACATATGCTGTCGCTGACTTTTTTGTAGGCATTATTAAGCTCTACAACTTTTCTCTAGAACATAATCATATATCTCTCACCGTTAAGGCAGCGTTCGTAAGAAACCTTTTCGTTCGACCGTTTTTTCTCCGACTTACTTTGCAAATCCGACTACCACGAAAAAGCCTTTTCATTCTTCGCGTTAATATATAGCCTATGACACTCAGAAAGAACGTGGCTTTCTATTGGTAAAAGAATTTTGAAAATCTGTTCAGTAGATCCAGAGATTACCCCCTACAACGTCACAAACTCACAAACTCACAAACTCACAAGATCACAAACTTTACCTCTTTATAATATTAGTATAGATATAGCCTCAATTTTTAAATATTCCAAAGTTTTTATGTATGCAGATGATTTAAAACTAATACGTAGAATCAAAACGCATGATGATGTTACACTTCTGCAAAAAGATCTTGTTCAGCTAAGTGACTGGTGCAATACCCATAAAATGCATTTGAATGCAAAAAAATGTCACCATATTCAGTTCACTCGTAAAAAGAAAAAGATAAGTAGCGAATACAAAATATTAAATGTGACTATCGGTAAAGTGGAAGTCATCCGGGATCTGGGAGTGCTGTTGGATTCTAAACTGCAATTTACTGCCAACATTCAGCACATCACTAAAGCCGCTCTCAAATCCCTAGAATTTGTCCTTAACTTAACAAAAGAATTTAATAATGTCTCAACAATCATAACGCTATACAACTGTTTCGTCAGAAGTAAATTAGAGTATTGTAGTGTAGTCTGGGCTCCACGATACAATATACACACAGATAGGATTGAGCGAATACAAAAAAAAAAAGATTAAATATTTAGCATATCGTTTTGGAGTTCCACGAACGTACTCAGGATATGAGAATAAGTTCAAATATTTCCAATTGTTGTCACTACATTCGCGTCGTAATTTACTAGATATGTTATTCTTCTACAAATTATTAAATAACCTAATAGATTGTCCAAAGCTGCTTTCCTCGGTAAACTTTAATGTACCCTAAAGAATTGCGAGAAAACGATGTCCTTTATTTCACACTAAAAAACATAAAACTAACTTAGGAAAAAATGCGCCACTAAATAAATTATCTAGAGCTTACCATGACCTGTGCTTGAAAATTGATGACTTAGACATCTTGCATGACAGCCTCAAGAGTTTTAAAACTAAAATAATACAGTTTTATAATAAAGGAACATAATCTTATGACTCTATGTAACTTTTATCAATTATTATTAATTTGTACTATTTTTTTATATTATTCAAAGTATTTAGACCTAATCTGAACGTGACATTGCAACTGTTATTATTATTATTTTTATTATGAATTATTAATTGTTTAAAATATCTGTATCTTATCTATTGTATGTGTGTATTGTGTATTATCTATTGTATGTGACATTTTATTTGGAAATTTATAATTATAATTGTTGTTTTTTTTTCTTTTTAATAATTTAAGTTTATAGTTTAATCCATATGATCACTTAAAACCTTAATTAATAATATTATAATTATCATGCTGTATTTACCTGTAATTAAAAGTGCAATTAATATGTTAAGTTTAGTGCAAAGATTATATGTGTTAACCATTGTAACTTTTGTTGGTAAGTCAATAAATAAATAAATAAATATAAGAAACAGACCTGACGATGAATTAGGCGATATGTCACATTATCTGTCACAATATAATTGTGAAATTAAATATTTTCCAGGAAAAAATAACACTGAAGCAGATTGTCTCAGCAGAAACCCAGTATTGGACATTGATGCAAATAATGAAGATAACTTAAGAACAGTAACACAAGTACAAGATCTATTGGACTATATCATGTCACAAAGCTTATTCCTATGCTTGTTGATTTTTAGATTTTGCAGCTAAATTTTACTCAACTTAAGTTGAAAAAATTTACTTTTCGAAGGAGGGTGATGTAAGCTTTGTGTTGACACTGACATTGACATTAGAGTGTCAGGTTTCTTTTTCCAATCGAATAATAACGTATAGTTAAATTACAAATGTTGTTTAATAATTACATTAGAACTAAGTTATGTTTGTGAATTTGATTTAATTTAAAAGTGCAAAAGACGATTTAAGTTTTAATAATAAGATTAGTAAAGCATGAACATTTAATTGTCGATTCTCTGGTTTAGGTTAGTATTTCATTAGTTGATTTTGGTTATGTAAAATTTAACTGTATTTACTTAAATAAAACTCTGTTTTAGATGAATCACATTGTGTTATGCTTCACGGAAAAATCCTGATATTATATATATATATATATATATATATATATATATATATATATATAGACTATTATAAAATAATATATATTGTACTTAAATTATTTATGTATTGGAAAGGTAACTTAATAAGTAAAACTAAAATGTAAATAAATATATTAGTAATATAACTCAAAATAACAAAACTATATAGCGGCTTACCTGTCGCCCGTATAAAATCGCGGGGACAGAGGAAGCAAGAAGAAAAGTGGGAGTCTTAAAAAAAATACACTACCTAGGTATTTAGCTGGCTCCCTAAAAGTTAACAGCACTCAGATACAACAATATAGGTACTTATAATTATTCTCACATTGAGCTAACGTTCACTGAAACATTTTTAAAAAGGCAACGACATTAACAAGCGAGTTACATACAGGTGTTCCAAGTGAATCGCTTATACATTAAATTCACACGATTGAAATAATAAACAGAATGTCGACATCGGGACGGGAATGCAGATTTGTTTTTCGGTATATGAGGTATGAGGTATTGATGTTGGTTCTTTAACAAATGAACCTGTTCTTCACATATTCTCCAACTGTGTCATCTCTGACATCCATTATTCTTTCTCTCCGTCTCGCAATAGTCTTGAGAACAACCCTTGGAAGTTTGAATCCAGCCTTTTTCAGAAGAGAATACCATGTTTTAGGGTCTCTTCCTTGAGTCTTCACCCAGAGTTCATCTTCGTCATGCCCAGCTCTATCCTCTTCATCCTCCGCTTCTCCACCTCGGCCCATATACCCATACCCATATACCCAGGCCACCAACACAGCATTCAGACCAACATCTGCCAATCTTCCGTCGAATATAAATCTGGCATTTTGAGATCTCTTGTGACCCAAAATGGATCCGATGATGTGGATCCAAGTGAAGAGGTAGGGGTTTGCATTGGAAGAGTAAGGCGATCTTCTGACAAGACCGAGATCGGACTGATATGGGAAATAAGAGTAAGGATTTCCTGTCTCTTGCCCAGCACGGGTTATACGGAGGATTTCATCTGCCATTCGTTCTAAGAAAACCCAGTCCATTAGACATCCAGATTCTACACATTCAGTATGTTCATAGCATATCCGAATGATAGTAGTCCTGCGCAGTCTCTGAATCGGCTTCCCAGTGTCCCCATTCGAAGTATTGCAGCTGCATGATTATTGAACCGGTAGAGAAACATGTCCATAGCTGCGACCATCTTCACAAAATGAAGATCGCTCAGCCAACTTGAATATATGTTTCTCGCTCCGTGAAAGGATATGCCTCGTCCTCCTTCGGCTCTAACCTGATCATCCATCCTCTTCTGCAACAAATCTGCATACTCATCATTTGACAATCTAGCCAAGCGATAGATGCAGACGATGAACAATGCCATAGATAACTCAGTCCAGTTTTGAGGATCATCTGGTCCAGTAATTTGTCCTGCTTGGACTGGTCTATACATTGGCTCTCTAGGAGCATGGACTGGCCCTTCGGTGATCGTGACGATTGACCAAGGAGTGACTTCGTCTCCAGGGAGACCTATTTCTTCTCCAAAGGATATCCACTCCTTTGTCACATTTTCAGACATTGTTTCACCAAACCTATGCAGAAATATCTTTACAGTCTGAATAGTCAATGTTGAACCTCTTATCCCTCCTTTAACTGAATTAATCAGATCTTCTCTAGAGCCTCTATAACTAGGAACAATGGCTGTAGGCTTCATCCCTGGATTCTTGGCAAACCAATCCAATGGATAATTGACATCCCCCTTTGGATCTACATACTCAAGAACTGATACAGTTTGAGTTAGAATGTGAACTGATCTATCTCGTTGAAAATCCATAGCAAAAATATCACTGACAAAATATGTATATCGTGTTGTATAATTCTTTATTTTATTTTATTCCGTTTTAATTCTTATATATTGTTTAGTGACATTCCATAAACTTACATCGAGTAGGTTGGACCTGAAATTTAGATAATAAGTTTAATTTGTAATTTTAAAATAAATTAGTTTAAATTAGGTTTTGGTTTTTTTCAAACCTTTCGACTGTAGCTAACGTAACTGGCGCAGTCGGTAGGATACTAGAATAGGGACAGTTAGGTCATCGCTAGTATCCTGAACCTACGGGCCAGCTGCAGAGCCGGAAGGAGAATCCAAACTTCGATTTACGAGGAGAAACCAGAAATGAATTATATGTGAGTACATTTGAACTATTCTCATGTTGCTAATATCCTAGTTATATTTCCATTCCAAAATTTTTTATCCTAGAGTTTATAGAAATCGGGAATCTGCATCGCAGCAGGCCAGTCATCGTAATTTAGATAATATTAGAAATTTAAATTTAGAAATTAATTGTAAGTCACAAATTTTAAATAATATTTTAAATATGGCTCAGGATCCGGACACTATTTATAAAATCCTTAGGATTGTGCCCGAATTTGATGGAAACCCCAACGTACTTACTAGATTTATTAATACTATTTGTGATCAGATTGTAACGCAATACTTAAATAATACGCCCGGTAGTGAATTAACTAATTTGTGTTTATTGAACGGGATATTAAATAAAATCACAGGAACTGCTGCCGCTACCCTTAACTCTAATGGTATACCGGACAATTGGTTAGGTATAAGAAATTCTTTAATAAATAATTTTTCTGATCAACGGGACGAAACAGCTTTATACAATGACCTCTCACTAGCCGTACAAGGAAATAAGACATACCAGGAATTTTATAGCCATTGTCAGACGCTATTCTGTACGATAATGACTTACGTAACATTACATGAGACTTTGACAACCACGATAGAAGCTAAACGTGATCTTTATAGAAAAGTTACTATGCAGGCATTTGTACGTGGCTTAAAGGAGCCGTTAGGATCGCGAATTCGATGCATGCGCCCCGAAAATATAGAAAAGGCTTTTGAATACGTACAAGAGGAAATAAATGTTACATACTTACAACAACGTACGGACGGACTAAAACAACAGACAACCCCTAAAGAACACCCCGTAGCATTCTTACCCCCTCGATCTCAAAATATTCAACCCCCAACGGTTAACTGGCCAAACCCTGTAGGACAACGCCCTATGCAACCACCACATCCTTTTAGATTTAATTTTAACCGTAATCAACCCCAATATAATATGCCTATGCATACGAGAACGCAGCAAATGTTTAGTGCACCACCACCGAATTATAACCCACGCAGTAATGTTTTCCGTTTACCACCTAGGAATAATCCAACTCAAAATTCTATGCCAAAGCCTATGAATGGAATTCAGAATTTTAACCCCAGACCCTTGCCTCATACTTTAATGACGGGACATGACTGGCGTAAATTAGGTAACCCGCCACCTACAAATTATTTAAAATCTTGAGAAATGAATATGAACGAATGTTTGCCTTATGAAGACATGTATTACAATTATCAGGATTACTATTACGAACCAGAGTATAATTATTACTATAGTGAGCACAATGACTATAATACTAGTTACAAACCCGACTTTCGCAATAATAATTCTATTTCACAGTACGAAACAAATGACGATCGTTTAATAAACGAGACTGAACCACAATCGGACCCTAGTTATATAGATCAGGATTTTCGGCTGGATCGGAAATCACCCAAACCAAAATAGAATTAAACTTACAGACTCAAAGACAACTTCCGTACATTCAAGTAAAAAATCCACCCCTTAAACTTTTAATAGATACCGGTGCAAATCAATCTTTCATTAGCCCCAATGCTGTAACGAAATATTTTTTTAATTTTCCTCTCAATTACGATCCCTTTGAAGTCACGAACGTATATACAACTAGCAGAACACTAATGGACACTTTGACCCGAGAGACTCTTGATACCGATTTAACTCAACATTTATTACAACAATATTTGATTAGTCATAAAGAAAACATAAAAAAAGTTTACGAAATAATAAATAGTACCTCCCTTGAGAATCGGACTGCTTTAATAGACAACAGAAATCGCGAACCCGAAGTCGAATATGCACCTCAGTAACAAGTTTTTATTAGAAACCCCCTTGGTAGTCGTCAGAAAACTGCACCGCGTTATACGCAGGATAAAGTTCTAGCTGACCTACCAATTCATATTTATACCTCGATAAAACGTGGCCCTGTAGCTAAATCGCGTCTGAAACGAGTCCCTAAAGGAGCTAACTTGTTACAGGGTAATAGTTCTAATGCTGACCATTCACGTGACGAACCCCTCGAGATAAGACTTGAGAGTTTGGACAATTAGACTTACCACTCACCACCACACCTTCCTACAATATATTAAATTAGACTAAATAGAGAATGGAATAGAGCTTTTAATGACTCAATTGAATAGCCTTCAGAATCTCCTTAGTAATGAAACTTACCAATTATAAGAACTTCAGATAAATTATCTGACTGAAAAGCTTCTTAAAGTCTCTGATCAACTAAGGTCTTTAGGACCAAACCGTGCCAAAAGAGGTATTGTAAATGGCTTGGGTTCCATTATCAAGAGTATAACAGGAAATTTAGATTATCAAGATGCATTAAAGTATGGTAATGCAATAAAATTATTAGATAATAATCAAGATAGTGACAGAGTTTAATAACCATGTTAGTATAAGTAAGGAATGGATGTCGAAACACAATAAAGTACTTACTTAATTAGTTGAAAATGAAGTTAAAATTAACAATACTTTACAGCTCATATTAAATTCAAATGCTTATAAAGAAAATAGTTTACTTACGTACGCAAAATTCGCTCAACTTTAAGTTATAATTGGTGAAAATGTAGAGGATCTAATGGCCGAATTAATTAGGATAGAAAATATATTAGCTTTTATTCGTGTTTCTAGTACACATCATTCTATGAAAGATATAAGTATTTTAGGATTAATGATAAATAAGTTAAAATATATAAAGACACCGGCATATTTAGCGGAACATAAAATAAAGGTTTGATATCAGTATCAAATAAGGTTGCTGGCTGGTTTATACTTCATTTAATTTAAAAAGAAATATTTTCAAATTAAGAAAACAACTGAACATCACATTTTATGCAATTGTTTTAATTTTATTCAAATACACCTTATTGATCGAACTTCGAGTATTTCTTCCTTCTGAGTTTGATTTAAAATTTCATTGAAATACTGTTTTTTGTTAGTTTTTTTTAATCGCGTATCTTTTTGGAGTTGAGGACTGAATTATGCCTGACTTAGCCCCAACGGAGATTGCCAGGGTACTCGAAATGCGAATAAATGGTCAAACCTACAGAGTGATATCCAGAGACCTTTGTCGACCAGTTTCAACGATCCATCGCAGTATCCAACGGTTCAGGGAGACCGATACTTATGTGAGAAGAGCAGGACAAGGCAGAAAAAGACGCATTTCGAGTAGGGATGATCGTTTCATTCGGCTTCGTGTACGTAGAAACCCCCGTTTGACAGCCGTCCAAGCCCGGCATGAGTTAGAAGCAGTGCGGGGTGTAACCGTAAGGGAGCGTACGGTACGAAGAAGGTTCAAAGAAGCTGGTTTGGGTTCATTTGTGCCCGCCAAGGCTCCAAGGCTCGAGGTAAATCATCGTAGAAACAGGTTAACTTTTGCTCAGGAACATCGACTTTGGAAAGCGGACCAATGGAGTAAGGTATTCTTTAGTGATGAGTGTAGAATTCTCTTAAATCAAATTAACGGCAGGCAAAGAATATACATACGCAAAGGAGAACGATACATGCAGACAAATGGTGGTGGATCAATATAGGTTTGGGCGGGCATTTGTTTCGGAGCTCGCACAGACTTGGTAGGGATTGACAGAGAGAGTCTGACTGTAGACCGCTATATCAGAGAAGTTTTAGAAGAAAATGTCGTACCGTTTGCCCCATATATCGGTAACGGTTTTGTTTTTATGCAGGATAATGCTCGGCCGCATACCGCTCGGGTAACTCAAGCTTATCTTAATGATATGAATATCACTGTTATGGAGTGGCCGGCGAGATCACCAGATATGAACCCAATAGAGCACGTTTGGGACTTGCTGAAAAGAAAAGTTAAGTCCAGAATTCCAGCTCCTGCCAACGTGGGTGAACTGCGAATCACCATAGTTGAGAAATGGCGAAGACTATCCCAGGAGACCATCGATAACATCATTCTCAGTATGCCTAGACGGGTAGAAACTTTAATAAGAGCACGTGGAGGAAATACGCGATATTAATCACCATTTTTCTAATTTAATTAATTGTTATTTTAATATTAATTTTCACTTTACCCGGTTATATGAAAAGTTCAAAACTGTACCATTTTTCACAAATAGCCTTTACTCGCAAAATCTGTTTTTAATGTGATCTTATTTTAAGTAAAACAAATGAAACTTTAAATAACAAAAGAAGTGTAGTAAGTAGATTTTAAAATAAAACCATATTTTTTTTAATAATGGACCTTTTTTTTGTGTTCCGCTAAATATGCCGGCGAGTGTATATATATATATATATATATATATATATATATATATATATATATATATATATATATATATACTATATATATATTTTATTAGTTTATTTTTTAGGTATTAATTCGTATTCAGAATAGTCCGCAATCGTTGGAAGTCCGCCATGTTAAGAATGCCGTGATTTATCTAACTATGCATTGTCATCTAAACTAAACGTGTATGCAAAATTTCAGCTCAATCGGTTGAGGATAACTGCCTTAAAATTCAGTTTCAAGATTTGTTCCGAACAAACATTCACAAAACATTGCAAGTTAAATAAAAGCACGTAAAAAGAAGAAATACTACAAAATACATTAAGGAAAATAAAACAAAAACCTCCTTTTTAAATATTGGGA